GCGCTTGAAGCACCCAGACGGACGAGCGTCGTCCGAGAGACGCTCAGAGCGGGGGCGGCGGCCACCCTGGGCCTGCGCTGGTGCAGACAGCCCCCTGGGGGCCTCGTCTGGGCCTGGGCCCGGTGCTGGTCCCCACAGTCCTTTCCGGGGCTCACACGGCCCCTTCTCTCTGTGGGCGCTCCTCTTCGTTCATGCAGGACGCTTCTCGGGATCTTTCTTCACAACAGAAACTATTTCTGCCCAGTTGCCTCTGCCCTGAAGGCAGCGGGGGTTGAGAGCTGGGGACGGGGAATTTGGGCTGCAGGGAGACCACAGGCCAAGCAGAGAAAAGGTCCCTGAGGGTGAAAAGGGGAACCGGTACCCCTCGGGGATTTCGCGATCTGGCTGCTTCCCTCCCGGAGCGCTGCCCCCGTGGAGCTGCCCTGGGTCGGTGGAGACACCCAGGCGGGACAGAGTCGCGGGGTGGTGCGAGGGCGGGCCCTGCTGCTCTCCACCTGGCCACATCTGAGCCCCGAGCCGCCGCTGCCACTGGGCCTTTGGGGTGCCTGGAGAGGCCCGCCTGCCCACTGGGTTTGGGCCTGACCCACTAACCGCCTCACACAGCTAACGGGGCAGGAAACTGAGGCCAGAGCCCGGCTCCCGGCAGCAGCACCAACCCCTAGGCCGCCTCTTGCCGGGATGAGACGGTGGCGCAGATGCTGGCGGGCGGCCGGAGAGGTGGCAGATGCCCGTGAGCGTCCAGAGAACGTGGCCACGGAGGCACGCGCAGCCCTGGCCGCTCAGGAGGGGCCCGTGTCCAAAGCCGGCCGCTTCCGAGCTCCTGACGGCTGCAGTGGCGCGACGGGCCCGCGGGACCGGAGCTGCTCGTGTTTCGAGGGAAACTGGAATTCTAGGTTTGGGGGTTAAACTGTCTGAGGCTGGAAATATTTTGAAATCGCTCCTTTTCTCTAGAGCCGGGTGGCTGACGTGGCGGGGCCGGCTCGCCGCCCGCATCTGCCGGCCTCCCGCGGGGCCTGTTCTCTGGGGCTAAGTCCAGGTGAGGAGACCGGCCGAGTCCTTCTCTTGCCATATTCGTTCCTTGAAAAATGAGCTTCGGCGAGAAAAAGCTTCCCTTTCTTGGAGTGGGAGCGGGCCCCGGGGAAGCAGCCGGGACGCCCCGGCTCAGCGCTCTCCTCCCTAGTCCGACGTCCGGGGAGGGCACGGGCCTCTCACTCACAGCTCCCGGGGAGCGGCGGCCAGAGCGGCCTGTGACGTGCGCTGGTCTCGGTGCAGGAAGAGAACCTGTAAGTAGCGGGCCTTGTCCCTGAGACCCAAGTGCTTTGGGGTCCCCCTCCCCCAAAGGAAAAGGCCAGGGGAGACCAAACGTTGGAAATGGATCTATTGTCTTAAGAAATAGAATTTTAAAAGTATCTTTCGTGACTCCCATTTTCAGTCCGGGCCTTATTTACCCACTCACAGGCGTGAAGAGCTAGTCAGTTGGCAGCTCCAGGCCAAAGGCCCACCCGCGGCACTCACGGCGCCCTCTCTCAGCGCGCCGGGCGTGAACAGGCGCCACCCTCCTTCCACCCGGTTTATGGTGACAAAGCTGATTTTCGAGAAGGCCGGGGAGCCCCGCCGTAACACAGCTGGCCGGGGCCGGGTCTGGGGTGGGGGCTGTGAGACCAAGCGAGTCCTGCGGAGGTCGAAAGAGCCGCCTCCCAGGAGCACCTGCTTCACGGAGGGGGCTTTGCCTCAGGTGGGCTCGGGGGCCTGTCCGCCAGGCAGGTGCGGCTCGCCGTCCTCGTCACTGCGCTCGAGGCCATAGAAGGAGCTGGTGAGAGCCGCCCATGCAGCCGCCTTACTCCGCAGCCCTGTATTTCTGAACCGTTCAAGTCACAGATATCCACGGGGGCCCTTGGCACCATCCTGCGGCTGCAGCTAGACACTCAAGAGACGACCTGGAAGACTGTCCCGGCCTTAAGACAGTAGGAGTGAAAACTCGTGACCTTCTGAGGTTTCTGGAGCACTTCTCTGTGGTAGAGGCAGCAGTTGAGAACACAGAATGAATGTGACTCCATCCCTGCCCTGGAGGGATGCACGTCTAGAGGGAAAGGGGCTTCAACCCAGCATTTCAGTTCAAGCTTAATGCTAAGGAGCAGGCGGAGCTTTGAGGGCTCTGAGGGGAATCTCAGCTCCCAGAGAAAACCCCTGGTTGGGTGGGAGCAGGAGCAGGGGCCTCTAGCAGGGGAGAGACAGCAGATCAGACTGGAGCTTGCAGATGACCCTCTTCTGTTGTTATGTCCCGGGAGACGGGTGCGAACTGGTTCAACCTCTAGCAAAACACATCACGAGCCTAAACGTACTCGCATCCTTACTCAGAAATTCCACGTGGAAGAATCAGCGCCTTCCAGAATGCGTGTGTGAGGGAGCCTCTGCCTATTAAGCATCATTTATAAGCAGGAAAAACTGGAAACCACCTACATGGTTTTACAAGTTCAATACGCTTGGTCCACCCAAGCCAGGTGATTTTCTGCACCGCTTGTAAAAGAAATCACGTTTTAAAATAAAAAATTTAAAACAAGCAAAAATGATGGGGGATCTAAAATGTTTAATGAAATATCACCCTGATTTTGTAATAAAAATTCTCAACATCGGTTGTGATCATCACCCACATCTCGCTTTTCCGAAGCTCTTGCTGCGGACACACCAGCCGAGAGAAGGGGCGGGGCTCCTTCTTGCTCCGTGTGAGATCCAGAGCTTTGGCTTCTGCTTTCTTCCTTCTAAACTGCCAGTGCCCAGCGTTTGCAAGACACTGTTCTCCAGGCCACGTTCTCTTCCTGTGTCCAGGCTGGCTGGGGAGGGAGCGAGGCCAGGCCGGTAGAAGGACAAAGGAAATAGAAAGGAAGTGCCCAGAAGCGGAGCAGTGTTGGGGAGGGCACACGCATGATGGGAACGGGGCCTCCAAGGGCCGTTGGCACTGAGTGTGGCACTGAGTGTGGCACTGAGGACTCCAGGGGGGGAGATTCCATGGAGAAGGGCTCAGGCAGTGCACGCCGCCTCCTGGCACGGCTGCCAGCCCGGTGCGGAGCCACCTAGTCTGCCAGACGCCACGTGTGTCACCACGCGCCACCGAAGACTCCCCGCCAGAGCCTCCTTTGTGCAACCTTTGGGGGGGACAGGCTTGTCCACCACCCTTTCTGGGGGGCTGGTTACTGAAGAACTTGAAGGCTGCACTGCGACAGCGGCTGCCCTGGGAAGTGCAGGAAAGGTCAGAGGGCGCGACAGAAAATGAAGCTGGAGAGTGAAGTTGAGAGACTCCTGGAGAAAACTCTCCGCCTGAAAACTCACTTCACCTTCCCCTGACGGTGCAGTCACGGGAAGTCTGCTCGACCGGGCAGAAGCGGCCGGGCACACGGCCCAGGACTGCCAGCCGAGGGGACACGCGTGTGTCAGTGGCAGGAAGACCCTGCGGCCAGCGCTCTGCATTTCTGGGCCCTGTGCTGATTCCTGCTTTTCCATGTCTGCTGCTGGACCGGGCACCTGCCCACAGCCGGCTACCCGGGTCTGCACAGCGCCAGGCCCCCTCACCACCACCAGCTGCCACGCTCAGCACCCCCCGTACCACCCGGCCAGGTGGCGCCTGGGCCCAGCGCTGTGCGCCTGGACACGGCCGGGCGACCGCACCTGCCCTGGCGGAGCTGCATCCCTTGGGGCCTTGGGGAGACCGACCGGGCCTTGGTCTGGGGGGGGGGGGCCGGGGGCAGCTGCTGAGGAGCGAGCAGGGCGGGCGGCCCAGAGCGGGCCGGGCTTCGCTGTGCGGGAGCCCCGAGCCCCTCCCGCGCCTCCCGCGCTCGCCCCTCGCGCCCCTCGCGCCCCTCGCGCCCCGCGGAAACCCGGGAGCTGGAGGGAAAAGAGACGCGACCCTGGAACCCTCCTGCGGGGCGCCGGGGCTGGCTCTGGGCGGGAGCCCGTGCTGGGCCCACGCGGCGCGGACACGGGCCGTGGCCGGGCCGGGCCGGGGCGGGGGCTGCGGGCTGCGGACCGCGGTGGGGCCCGGGAGCCGGCGCGGGGCGCGGGGCGCGGGGCGGGCGGGGGGCGGGGGGCGGGTCTCCGGGCGCCCGTCGGGTCCCGCTCGCTGGGCCTTTGTTCCCGGGGGGCAGGGCCGGCGCCCCGCCTCCCGGCCCCGCGCTCGCCGCATGCGCGCTGCAGCCGGGCCCCGCCGGCGCGCCGAGCCGCGCACCCCGCGCCTGATCCGCCGCTGGGGGCCGCGGGGGCCGCGGGGGCTCGGGGCGCTCCCGGGCGGCTCCGGCCAGGGGCGCGCCTGTGGCCCGGGCCTGCGCGCAGCGGGGCCGCCGTAGTCCCGCCGGGGCCTCGGGCCGGGGGAGCCAGGGACGGCGCTGGCGCCCCCACCTGCGCCCCCACCTGCGCCCCCACCTGCCGCGGGCCCGGCTGTGCGCGGCGAGGCCGGGGGGGCGCGCGGCGCCGGGGCCGCCGTCCTCCGCGGAGCGGGGCTGAAGTCTGGCGAGCGCAGGCCCCCCCCCCCGGGCGCGCAGCCCCCCGCTGGGCCGGGGCACCCCGCGACGCGCGCTGCGGGGCAGGGGGCGGAGTCTTGCGGCGCGGGCCACGCCCCCGCCTCCCATTGGCTGGGCGGCTCCAGCGCCCCGCCCCGGCGGCCCCGCCCCCGCCGCCCCCGCGGGCCTCGGGCCCCGGAGATAAACTAACTTGCCCGGAGACTCCGGGCCCCGCGCGCTGATTGGCCCGCGCCGCGCTCCGGGCGCCCATTGGCGGCGGGCGGGGGGCGGGGCCGCGCGCTCCGATTGGCCGGGCGGGCGGGGCGGGGCCGGCGCGGGGCGGGGCCGGCGGCGGCGGCGCGTCCGGTCCTGGGGCGCGGGCGGCGGACGGGGGCGCGGGGGCCGCGGCCGGTGAGAGCCGCCGCCGCCGTCCTGGGGCGCCCCCCGTCCTCGCGGCCCGGCCCGGGGAGCGCGGCGGCGGCGGGCGGGGGCACGGCCCGGGCGCCATGAGCCGCGGCGGGAGCCCGGGCGCCGCCGACTGCCTGCTGTGCGCGGACGGCCGGAAGGGGCTGCGCCAGGTACGGGCGCGGGGCGCGGGGCCGGCGGGGCGCGGGGGGTGCGGGGCCGGCGGGGTGCGGGGCGCAGGGGGCCGGCGGGGCGCGGGGCCGGCGGGGCGCGGGGGTGCGGGGCCGGCGGGGTGCGGGGCGCAGGGGGCCGGCGGGGCGCGGGGGTGCGGGGCCGGCGGGGTGCGGGGCGCAGGGGGCCGGCGGGGGGCGCGGGGGTGCGGGGCTGGCGGGGTGCGGGGCGCAGGGGGCCGGCGGGGTGCGGGGGTGCAGGGGGGCCGGCGGGGTGCAGGGGGCCGGCGGGGCGCGGGGGATGCGGGGCCGGCGGGGTGCGGGGCGCAGGGGGCCGGCGGGGGGCGCGGGGGGCCGGCGGGGGGCGCGGGGTGCGGGCGGGGCGGGGGTGCGGGGCGGGGCGGGCCTGCGCCCTCGGCCCGGCTCCCGGGCGTCTGGGGGTGCGCCGCCCCCGCGCCCTGGCCGGACACCCCGCGGCGCCCCCGCTGCAGGTCGGGGCGCAGGAGCTGGGAGCGCGGGGGGCGCGCGGGCGGGGCGGCTCTCCGCTGCGCCCCGAGGGGCCGGGGTGGCCCCCCGCTCCCCCCGCCCCCCGCGGCCGTGGAAAGTTTGCTCCGTCGTGCTGGGCAGCGGGGGCGCTGGGGTCCCCTCGACCCCCGCCGGCCTCGGGCGCGCCCCCGCGGTGCGGTGTGGGGGGCGGGCGGGGCGAGCCCGCGGCCGCCGGTCCCGGGCCGCGGGGCTTTGTCCGGAGCCGGAGCCGGGGCTGGTCTGCGGGGCCTGGGGGCCCCGGGGCTGCTCCCCGCGGGGGGGGGCGCCATGCAGTCGCCGCGGGCCGCAGGGGTTCAGCGCGGTCCCCCGCGCGTGCCCGACCCGCTTGGCGGCGGCGGCTGGTCCGGGGTCAGCGGGGAAGCTGCGGCCTCGCTGCGCCCTGAAAGGCCAATGAAATGTGGGGGGCCGCGCGGCGGTAGCCCGTCTCCGCCCCCCCCCCCCCCCCCCCCCCCCGCCAGAGCCGGGCGCGTCCACCGGGTCCACCCGCGGGAGAGGCGGAGGGGGCCGTGCGCAGGCCGCGCCCCGCCCCCGTGCCCCCCGCCCCCTGTCCCGGGGCTCCCCGGCCGGCCGGGAGGGGCCGCGGGCCGCGGGGACCCCACTGGTGGGCGCTGAGGAGTAGCAGGCGCTTGACACCCCCGCCCTGCACCCCGCACGCTGGAGGGCGCCCCGCGGGAGGACGGGCCGTGGCCCCCAGCAGCTCCCCGGGGGCCCCGCGGCGCTTCCCGGGGGGGGGTGTCCAGGGCCGGCGCCCCTGAGGAGCCCCCGAGGAGCCCCCGAGGAGCCCCCTAGGAGCCCCCCGAGGAGCCCCTGAGGAGCGGGCGCGCGGGGGGCGGGCAGGGGAGACGTGAGCCTCCGCCGTGAGCCCCAGGGGCCCTGGAAGAGCTGCGCCCCGCGGATGCCCCGCGCTCCCCGGCGCCGGTCACCGCCCACTCCCCCCTGGGGTCACCCCCCACTCCCCCCTGGGGTCACCGCCCACTCCCCCCTGCAGCGCAGGGGCCGCTGCTGACCGCATGGCCCTCACCCTGCAGAGCTGGGCTCTGACCCCACAACAGTCCGGCTGCATCTCGTAGGTCCAGCGGCACCGTCTTGTCCGTGACTGCACTCCCCCGCTTCGCTTACGTGGTGATTTATTTTGAGGACTCTTTGATGATTTCACAAGTGAAGAAGCTGAGAAAGTGGGAAATGCGCGCCTGAACAATACGAGCCGCGTTGCTGCAGTCACAGTGGCCGTTTAACCTGCAGAGTGAAGTGTCTTGTGGAGAGGAGCGATGTGCCGCCTTGGCCTACGGGGTTTCTTATGTGCATATATTTTTTTAAAGATTTATTTGTTTTTATGCAAGAATCGGGGTACAGTCAGAAGCGCGGGAGGGTGAGAGGATTCACCAGAGCCAGAGCGGGGAGCAGAGCAGGCAGACGGAGGGAAGACAGTGCTGAGGGGAGCCGCGGGCGCGGCAGGAGAGGTCTGTGCGCCCTGTGGGGTTCTCCCTGGCCGGCCGGGCATCTAAGCGGCGCTGCGGAGGCTGCGGGCACCTTCGCAGCCCAGCGCTCAACCACCTGCGCCACCAGGGAGGCCCAATGCATATCTTTTTTGAATGTTGAAACCAGTTTTTCCACCTGATTTTTGTCTTAAACTAAGCTGCCCGAGCGGCGAGCAAGCTGCGCGTTTCTGCCCGTAAACCCTCTGCAGTGGTTCTCGAAATGCTTTTCACGGCGGCCTCCGTGCTTCCATGTTCTAAAATGCTTGAGTTGGATTCACGTTTGAAGCACGTTCTTGTTTGACGATACAGCTACCCCAAAATATGTTTTGCCAAATATCAGCCAATTGTGTTGAGATTTATCTTTTGTTACAAGATTATTCTCGTGCGGGTCTTGAGTTCGAACTCGCCCTGCTGCCTTTGCACGTACATCTGGATTCTTCATGAGGCGCTTTGACGGGAAAGGGGGTCGCCCGTCACGAGGGCGCTGGCCTTACAGAGAAAACAGCCTGTCCTGTGTATTCAGACACACTTTCACTCACAAGCTCACAGTTACCAGGAGCTGCTACTTCATAACTGCGGTGTATAAAAGTCATTGTCTTGTAGACAATGTTTCCTACTTCGGTTCTGCCTAAGATTAAATTTCTGAAGGGACCCTGACCCCCTCAGCCCCGCCAGGGCTCCCGAGAGGCCCGGAGAGGCCGGCGCCCACAGGCCCGCCGGGCAGACCTTTTAATTTCGCACAGGCCTGTTAACTCCCCTGCAGCCTGGTTTTCTCTGTGAAGTGAGGGTGATTTCTCCTTGATTTGTTGTTTGCGGCAGGCACGGCTTGAGAGAGGTGATAGGTGTGAAAGTACTCTGTGAAACATGACGCGTAACTGTAAATCTAGAAACCAAAAAGGTGCCAGTTCCCCCCCTTTCCCCAGGAGCCCGGGGCGTGGCGCCCGCGAGCGAGCGGTGAGGATGCGCTTTTAGTGAGAATCAACATTCGGTTTGTGAGTTTCCAATTTCTCTTTTTATTCTGCCCCCAACCCGTACATAGTAAGCCAATTTGTTGCTTTTGGGTTTTGTTTTTTTTTTTTTTGAAATAATTAAACTAAATAGCATTTTGGACCCTTGGGGGGCTGTGGGAAATTGGTATTTGGTTTGAAAAGACCCCGAGTGGAGCATGATGGTGCGGAAGAGAGGCCGGGGCGCACCTCGGCCAAGCAGAGCACTTGGGCGGGGCGGGAGGAGCTGCCGGGCGGTGGCTCTGGCGGCGCTGGGTGGGGTCCTTGGGAGACAGAGCAGCGGCTCTCAGATTTGCTCTTCGGACCCTGTGCCCTGTGGGATGTCCACGGCCTTCCCGAGGGTCCAGAAGATCAAAACTGTTTCTGAGACTTCGCGGCCTCTCCCGGTGCAGGCCCCGCCGGGCAGCTGAGAGCAGCGGGCAGCCCGGCCAGCCCGGCGCAGCGGGGAGGTGCCCGCCCGCAAGGCACAGCCTCCGGGACACAGCGAGACTCGCGCCTTCAAAGTCGGCCCGAGCGAGGCCTCCGGCGCGTCCCCGGGGCCAGCTGAAACGCGCGGGCCAGGGCGGTCTCCCCGGAGCTGCGGGCGCCCAGGCCGGAGAGCTGGCGGAAGTCACCCCCAGAATGAGTACGTGACCCCGGGGACGCTGAAGGCACTGCGCTTGGGGAACTGTGCCCCCGCCGCCATGAGCCCAGCTCATGGCACACGGCCCATGCTGAGCCCGCACGGCCCAGCTCGGAGCCTCTCCCCGGGGCCGGTGGAGCCGCGAGCAGACCCGAGCGGCGGAGGCGGGCAGCGCGTGGGCCAGCGCGCGAGGGCTCCGTCTCCCGCGAGGCGCTGCCCGCCCTTCCCTCCCCACCCTGGCCGCCCGCCGGCCCAGGGGCCACCACGTGGGCCCTCCCGGTTCTCGCCCCTCGGTATCCTTGGATTCTCAAGATCACTGTATGCGCTTTCGAGAAGATTCATCGAAGTCATATGCGGCTAAAGAGTCAAAGGCCTCGGCTTGTAATGCCCCAGAAAGTCCAGCCCGCGCTCCGCGCCTTCACCTTCCCGCAGCGCTGCTGGCGCGCGTCGTGCGGGTCGGGGCCTTCGCGGTCTCCGCCCTGGCGTCCGGCCCCTGTGGGAGGCCAGCGCTGCCCACAGCCTCAGCCAGCGCGGCGGAGGGACGCGGCAGGGGGCGCGCCGGGCTTGGCTCTCTGCTCTCCACGGTCTTTAAGGAAATAGTTACTTTCCTAACACGCGTGTTCACCCATGAAGGGTTTTTATTATTTTAAATGAATTAATAAACATTTTAAATTGTGTCAGTTTTAACCCCCACACAGTAAGTGTTGCCCTTACAGCCTGCACCTGAACCACAGCTCTTGGGGTGCACGACGGTTTCTGGGCGTGTGTGGGCGCTTCAGGACCCACGCGGTGACGCAGGGCTGCCGAGCCCGGCGCCGCTTGAAGGCTGCGGGGACGCTGGCAGCTGAGGCCGGGGCCGGGGCCTGCCAGCTGCTCAGCCCTGTGAGTGCGGAGCCACCAGGCGCCTCTCCAGGGTCGCCCTGGATGGTCTCTGCTCCCAGGCCCCTGGGCTCTCGTGGCCCTTCGGCGAACGCGCGGTGCCGGCGGCCGCAGGAGCCTCGTCCCGGCGCCGTGTGACCGCAGAGGGCCAGACGGGAGGCTGTGTCCTCTGCCCCCTGGCTTGGGCCGGCAGGGACGCCAGGCCCCCAGCAGCAGGGCCGGCCTTTTGTCTTGACAGCCGAGCCTGTGGGAGAAGCAGCGGCAGGAGAAGGGACGAGAAAGGAGGCCGGGGGCTAGTGCGCGCTGATGGCGCCAGCAAGCTCGCCCCACCAAGGAGAGGAAGAGCCGGCGGAGCCCCAGGGGGCACGGGCACGCGTGTCCTCTCGCCGCCCCGCAGACCGGACGGGTGGGGGGGAGGGCAGTGGACGCCCAGGGCTCCCCCGGCGCGCGTGGAACTCCTGGGCAGATGCA